ACCATCTGGTGGGTAGTGATGAGAGCAGTAGGAGCAGTGTGGGCCAGGCATGCTAATAACGAGGCACCTGAGCCCAGCAGGGGTGTGAGATCCCAGAGGGGTAGTTCATTGTGCATAGTTTGAGGGCCCATGCACAGTAGGGTGCAACTGGAGTACCTGAAGGACTGTGCTAGTGGGGTTCAGAGTAGGGCTGCAGAGGACAGCTTGAAGGACTGCACCAGGGGTGTACCGAGTACAGCTGCATGGGCAGCTTGAAGCAGTACATGGGCCAACCCCAAGCGTGCGTGTGTGAAACCAATTGCCTCGTGGGTTGGAGCAGAAGCAGCCCAGCATTGGCACAGGGTGACGCCACGCAGAGTAGGTGAACTCATGGGATCCAAAGTTGCTGCGTGGTAGTGTCAGAGAGAGAGTAGTCAAGCCTGAAGGCTCAAAGGGGTTTCTCAAGGAGAGCAAGGGCAGTTGACAGTGGCCCAGTAATGGGCGGTATGTTAAAGGCTTCTGTGAGAGGGGGGCAGAATGCAAGAGGCCCCTGTCAGAGAGGGGCAGTGTGTGTGAGTGTGTATGGAAGAGACCAACAAAGGACTGAGTTGGTCCCAGCCTCAGACTGGGGAGCAATACCAATCTGGATGCCATCTGCTAGGCATGGTCCATGGTATAGGGAAGGTTAGGGAAGTTACGGGGCCATGGATAGCACCCCCTAGCATCAGGGGAATGAATGGGCAGCCTCCCGCTTAATATATCATGGTAACATTCAAGTCGTGGCAGGTGAGTTAGGGCAGACTGCCCTAGGTAGGTGGGTGGGCTAACTCGAGATCTAGCCCCAGCAAGGCCCCCTGTCACAACATGATCATGTCTCTTAGTAGTGTCTGACCTCAGCAAATAAAGGAGCCTTTTTGTTCATGACAGTAAGTGAAAGTGCCCAGGGCTTTTGCTTGGACCACTGAATGTTCTGAATGTGCTGAGGTTTAGGTTGTAGCCATGTTGGTCGAAGGACATAGGCAGACAAGGTTCCTTGGGTGAATTTGATATCTTTAATTAGACCAACCAAAATAGTTGGGGAATATTTATTAAGCAAGCTTTCGGGTTCAAAAACCCTTCATCAGGCTAAGGAAGTGTCAGCAGTTGGTGTGTGCTCTTCCTGGATGGAATGAAAAGTAAAGAAGCCAGGGGCTGGGCTGGGGAGTCAGTTGCCCCGCAGATTATAACGTATCAAAAACCTACTGTCTATGTTTAGTCCCTGATCTCTAGTATCCAGGAGGTTGATGAAATGGAGCTCATAGGCTCGTCTTTGGGAAGTGTTGTGTAAGTTTCCCTTGAGGATCAGGACTGAGAGATTGGAGAGAGAATTTGGTGCATTGGATGAGGTATATTACATTTCTGGAGGTGCAGCTGTAAGATCCAGGGATGCTGATGGCTCTGTTGTGGGGTGTAGTAATTGTGGGGGTGGTGGAGATGTGTTGGCAGGTTTTGCATTTCTTGTCCTGGCACGGTCTGGATCCTTTTGGTGTGTTCTGGGCCTGAGGAAGTTTGCTTCTGGTGATGAGGTTGCCGAGGTTCGGTGCTTGTTTGAAGGCTAGGATGGGTGGCTCTGGGAAGATCTTTTTAAGAATAGGGTCTCTTTCTAGTATGGGTTGCAATTTTTTGAGGATTTTCCATACAGGTTCAAGGGATGGGTGATAGGTCATAACCAGCGGTGTGTGATTTGTGGGGGGTTTTCTTCTGTACTGCAGCAGTTCTTCACGTGGTATCTGGGTGGCTCTTTCAAACGTATGATCTATCTCTCTGGACAAGTGTCCTTGTTGGGTGAAAACCTGTTTAAGATTGGTGAGGTGGCAATCCCAGGTGTTCTCTTGAGTACAAATGCGGTGGTATCTGAGGGCTTGGCTGTATATCACAGCTTTTTTGGTGTGTTTAGGGTGATTGCTGGTTCTGTGCAGATATGTATGTTGGTCTGTGGGTTTCTTGTATACTGTGGTCTGTATTTTACCCTTCTGGATACTGATCATTGTGTCTAAAAAGGAGATGTTGGAGCTGGAGTATTCTAAAGAACGTCGGATGGAGGGATGGTGATTGTTGAATTTCTGATGGAACTCAATCAGAGATTGTGAATGTGCTGAGAGATTCAATTCAAGCTGATGGCCATGCAAATTTAGAATGGGTTCCTTTTCAGTCTCTAGGGTCTGCGATATATGAGGGGGTTTTCAACCACCACATGGATCAGAAGTATCTGGCCCTTGACTGAACATGAAAAACACATAATTCTCTGTCTAATTTAACATGGAGTCCTTTTCCCCATTGTCCATCATATAATTTTCTCTATCATTCCATTAGCTGTTGTATCACCAGCACCATATGGCCAAATGAACAAGTGGATAGTAGGATAATTCCCTTAAAATTAAATTTAGTGCTGCATTTCATGTTAGTCCTCAGAGGGCATGTCTACACTTGCAGTTAATGTGAAGCAATAAATTCAAGAGCAATAGACTCTGGAGTTTATTGCTGTTTGCATGTGTGCCTGGGACCACAGCACGTTGAGCCACATCAGATCAGCCCTGGCTGGCAGGGGTCAGCCTGCCAGTCCAGGGCTGCTCCAGGGCTAAGCTCATTGTGCTGCAGAAGGGCTGACTGGGGCACAAGGGTACTTTATTGCGGGGCTAGCCAGCAGGCAGCCCCTGCACTGAAACATCCTTGCGCCCCCACTAGCTCGGGCAAGTACTGTCCTGCTGTGGAGTAAATTAGATCACTCCAGCCTAATAGGGGTGCACATGTAGATGCCGAGACGTTTACTGTGCAGCTTATTAGTCGACTATGTAGTAAATGTCTCATGTAGATGTGCCCAGTGGGTGCTAAAGATAAGTGTACTGTTGCCTTGAAGGGGTGAAATCATGGTTTTGTTGAGATGTATGGCAAAGTTCCCATTGACACTACTGAAGCCAGGATATACCCAAGGTCTTTTTAAAGACTGTTCACCTTCTTTGATCCTACCGTTTTTTTCTTCATGAATTATTATGAGCTCCTGACCTTGGCTCCCTGATTGGGGGCAGGTGACTTGGAAAATGCTGAAGGGGAGGGGCAGGTCCCAGCTAGCCAGCAGGCAGCCCCTGCACTGAAACATCCTTGTGCCCCAGCTAGCTGGGGCAAGTACTATCCTGCTGTGGAGTAAATTAGATCACTCCAGCCTAATAGGGGTGCACATGTAGATGCCGATCCACCAGCGGGACAACTAGAAGCCCCACCAGTGGATTGGGGCAGGGAGCTGGGACCTACCCCACTCTGCAGCTGTTTTCAAGCCTTGTGCCTTGATCCCCTGATTGGGGCATGAGGCTAGAACCTGCCCTGAATGGGACAGTTCCCAGACCCTGCTTTGCGATTGCCTATTCAGCCCTGTTCCCCAGTCTGTTCCCCACCCAGCTCTGCGATCATGGAGATGAGCAGGAAAGAGGCTCCCCAGCCTGTTTCCCACCCAGCTTCATGATCACAGAGCTGGGCAGGGAACAGGCTCCCCAGCCCCTGCCAGCACAGAGCTCCCAGCGCCAGCTCCACAACCACGGGGCTGACATGGGGAGATAAGAATCTCCCAGTGCTGGCCCCATAGTCACAGAGTTGGTGCTGGGAGATAAGTATCTTCCAGCCTGAGCTCCATGACCACAGAGCTGGTGCTGGGAAATAAAGATCTCTCAGCCCGGACCCCACGACCACAGAGCTCAGGCTAGGAGATAAGGATCTTCTAGCTCTGGCCCCACTGTCATGGAGCTGGCACTGGGAGATAAGGATCTCCTGGCCTGAGCCCCACAACTGCAGAGCTTGGCTGGGGAGACATGGGTCTCCCAGTGCTGGCCCCATGGTCATGAAGCTGGCACTGGAGATAAGGATCTCCCGGTGCTGGCCCTGCAGTGGCAGAGCAGGTGCTGGGAGATAAGGATCTCCCAGCCTGAGCCCTGTGACCTTGGAGCTGGCGCTGGAGATAAGAATTTCCCAGTGCTGGCTCTATGGTCATGGAGTTGGCACTGAGAGATAAGGATCTCTAAGTTCCCCTGATCGTGATGGTGAAGTTGGGGCTGGGAGGTGAGAATCTCCCAGCCCCTGCTCCCTATTGCGATCTCAGAGCAGGCGGTTTAGAGCTCCCTGCTGCCAAGGTATGGGGACACAGTCCCTGGCCAGGCTCTAGTGGCGGAGCCCGACCTGGCAGCAGGCAGCTCCCGGGGGTAGGAAACAATCTTCTGCCCCCTGGTGGCTGGTTGACTGGGAGCAGATTTACACAAGTGCTACTGCGCAGTAAGTAATCGCAAGTAAATTTGCAGGTAGCAAATTTACTTGTGATTAGCAAAGTTTAGTGCACAGTAAGCATGTGCACATGTAGATGCATATGCTTACTGCATATTAAACTACACGACTGCGTAGTAAAGTATCTCATGTAGAGGTACCCACTATGTCTTCCAAAAGCCAGAAGAAAAAGAGAATGCATGAGTAGATTTGTGGTGATTTGCATATTTAGTTTTTCTGTATGACCCTCAGGTCATAGCTTAGCCTGCCTTGCCAGCAAAATATATATGGACATTTGTGGTATGGTGTAATAAGCATGACAAAGTGCTCTGAAATCTGATTTTTAGATACAATAGTGAGATGAAGAAGTAGCGTATTAATAAGCTGCTTCCCTTTTGGAAAGATTCTCTATATGGTATTAGAGACAGAAGACAATACCTACAAAAGTAGGAGGAGAATGATTTGTTGAAAAAAATTGAAAATACTGTATATTTGGTCCTGTCATTTATAACGGTAGAAATCTGAGTTCTAAATTAAGTGGCTTTTAATAAGCTTAAACTAGTAAACCTAAAAATAAACAAAAATAGCTGCACAGCAGTTGAAAGTTTAAATGGATTTATCTCAATTTCCCAGCTGCATTCTTAGGTTAAACTAGGTATTTGTATGCATGTGATCTAAATTGTAAATATTTATTTGTAGATGGATTTCTTACTTGTGGCACGTATTATACCTTGCAGATACTTGGTTACTTTGACTATGCTTTCACAGCCATCTTTACTGTTGAAATCCTGTTAAAGGTAATTAATTGTTATTGATCCTTGTTAGCTCACAAACAGCTTTAGCAATAATATTTGTAACTTTTTGTTTACCTTCCAGATCCTAGGGTATGCAGATTATGTCTTCACTAGTATGTTTACATTTGAGATCGTTTTGAAGGTAACAGGTTTATAAAGGAAGTTTGTATAAAAGGATTTTCCTTGTGTGTCACCTACCAAGAAAAGGCACTTGAAGTGTTTTCCGCCTTTTCTCTAAATTATCAAAGCTAAACTTTTTTAAAATATATTTTTCTTTGGCAATTTTGCATAGTTTTGTTTTGTTATTTTTAACTATTGGATGCATGTAGAAGATAATTTTTATCATCATATCAATATGTCATTCATTTTTTTACCCTCTTTTATATTTACAGTTTGCCAGAAAAGGGAAAAATGATTTTCTGAGCATGAGCTTCCCTCTTCTAGCATTTTCAAAAAGATAATCTTTTAAAGAGGGAACGTGTAATTTCTCATTTCTCTTGCTGAACTATATATTCGTAGATATAGTTCTCTTGCTGAACTATACATTCATAGAGCTAAAATAATAGAAAACTATTTTCTTTTCTAATTCTGCAACAGAATTTGCAAGATCTCTTTAATTTATTTATATACTAAGCTACTTCGAATTTATCTGATCTTGGGCATACATTTAAATACATAGAAAGGCATACATACTTTTGCTTAAATGTATTACCCGTGCATGAGTTCAGAGTAGGCATTTTAATGTACAGTTTCCTTACTGATTATTAAGGAAATCCACAGGTGCTATTTGACATTTAGATGCATGAGGCACACTCTGGCAAAGCAGCACGGTAACTAGGGATCTAAATTTATCTGGTCTCATTAGAGACAAAGGAAAATGAAAAAATAATTAAGAATATATAAAATACTTTATCATTGTTATATACATTTAATACCCTTCGATGCTACTTGAAAACCTCATGCATTGTACATTGGCCACTTATTGGGTAACCCTCAACAAATGCTGGCGCAGTAAGAATCTGTACATGAACTTTGCGTTTCAGGTTGATTATTAAGCTTAACAAAAACTCTTTTCTCAGCCTTATTCATATGTGTGTGTGTTCTTTTCACAGTGCAACCTGATTAATACTAGATCAAGTAGTATTTGGGCTGTTTACAAGATAAGCTGCGTATTATACAGTAAATTATTTTTATGTTAGTAAATGCCTACGTATTTGGGCTGAATATAATAAGGAAGTATGTGCTGGCTCCACAGGGTTGGTTTATTTTGTTTTATTTTCTTTTGTGGACAACCGGACCCTAAACGGAGGAGTATTTTTGTGTTCCCTGGACAGAATCTTAGGTCTCCAGCAAGCCGTATTTGCAGTTCAGTCCAGAAGTACTTAGGAAAACAAACTGTGCTCTAGAGAGTAGTAGTAGGTAAATAAAATGGGTGTGTCTACACGTGCAATTAATGTGACTGAATATACTCCAACTCAATTTGAGCCGTAGTAAACTAATCGTGACATCACCGTCTACATATGTGTTTAAGTGCAGTAATTTACTGCGCTGCTGGATACCACTTGTATCCAATGAGACTACCCAGCAGCGCAGTAAATTAGCCTACTGCCCCTAATTGCTGTGCACATGTAAATACTGGCAGTTTACTATGTAGCAAATTAGTCTGCTATACAGTAAAGCATCTCGTGTAGATGCACCCAATATGACATATGCATATTTGCAATGCGTTGCTTTATTAATGTGTCTCAGACCACGAGTGACTGGTGACTCCTGAATCTGGGGGGCACCCGCAGAAGCTGCCAATGGCAGCAGCCCTATCAGGGCCTACCAACAGCATCAGTGTCAGCCTTCGGGGGAGCACCGGCCCCATCAGGAGGAGCACGTGTACCCCTACCAGTCACCTATGCGTCAGACTTTGCCTATGCTTGCTTGTGGCCAATGCTCTCCATATCGACTTTGCTGAGTTTGGTGTGTTGCTTTCCACAATGCACAAGTGATGCTGCTAAGCAAGTTCTAAGAAGAGTTAATTCAAGGTTAGACTGGTAGTAGATATTATTATAGGTGTATTTCATTTAAATTGCAGGCAAAACAAATACTGTATTTACATGCATACCACACTCACCCTTTGCCCAAAAATCAACCTTCCAAAATCTGGGGATGTTTTTCAAGTGGAGAACTTGATTTTCTGCCCTGGAATGGAAGAGAGGCATGGAGATGCTGTAAGATGGCTGCCATGCATCTTCCTCAGCCGACCTCAGGGAGAGGTGATGGTGTTCATCCTTCAGGGTCACAGCTCCAGTATTAACTTCTCACAGCCACAGCTGCTGCAGTCAGGATCCCCTGCAGCAAGCATTCATCCATGATGCTGGAAACATCCTTTTTTCTTCATCCTGCCTTCCCAAATCAAGGTCTGTGTTTTATTTGGGGATGTATTCTGTGTGAGAAACTAGGGTATACAAAATCGAAGTAAAGATAACTACTCCAGGCAATATCAACACCTTAAAGGGTAAAACACATTGCAATGATATTCTAAACATAGACATAGTGCAAATATCTTAAAAACAAGCATAACAACCATAGAAATTCAGGGTTAAATTTAATACTCAATAGGAATCCAAACACATTCAAGCATAGAAATGCCTAATTAAGGCACAAAACCAATAGCATTTAATACTGCCATGAGTAACGCTGTGAGGGTGAGGGAAATGAAGAATTCTTTAAATGCAGTTTTATCTAATGTGGGACCACAGCTGTTTCAATGCATTTATCATAACCACATCATTTTTCTGTGATGTCACTACAAGCAGCGTTTCAGATAAAATCATTCTTCTCTCAAACAATATGTGTTGCAATGTTGAGGAACTGGATAGAGATTTGCAAAAAGATTGAATTCCTGCCTTAGGGAAGTCCCCAAATCAATCTTAACTTGGGAAACATGATCTGTTTTAGATTCAGATGCATGTTGAACTTGGATCAACTGGAAGAGCCATTTTACCACCCGCTTCAGTCATAACTGATTCCAGCCTGGCATGTCCTTATTTGGGAACCAGACTTGAGTAGCAGAGAAGCAGCTGCAAAACACCTTCGGCACTTTGGAATCCTCAGATTTAAAAAACAAAACAAAACATTTCATGCTCTTTGCACTGCTGGAGCAAGGCAACAGGAACAAGGGATGGGCCAATACTGGCCCTAGACTTCTAACCCTGACTTAGTTTTGCCAGTGGCACGTCCATTTTGGCCATTCAGCACTCTTGAATAATTTGGGGCCGAAGGCAGGACAGCAGCTCACCCTAAGCTTAAAGCTGTAGACTAGACAGTCACCTTGCTGGGGTCACCTGACCCCCAGTTATCTTTCCTGCTTGGTGCTGGGGGCTGGACCTGATGATCTTCTGAGGTCCCCTCCAGCCTTACAATCTATTAATCAACGAAACAGCCTGAAGCTACTGTGACTCCAATAAGTAGTGAGCAGCAAAAATAGTGAAAACTTGAACACATCTAAGCTACTGCAAGGCAGTGCGCTCAGCCTTAATCTTTTCAAAGAACAGACTTATTTTCTTTTGTCCAGAGGCTTTAAATGGAACTTACAATTAGTAAAATGAGGGCAGCCATGCAAGAGATTAACAGTTTTTATGTGTGAGAGTTTCTCCAGCAGTACACAACCTATGTAGCTACTCACTCAAATCATACGTGATGAGTATCAAATAAAAGCATGGGCAAAGAGATGTGTTCATGTAATAAAATAGCTGTCAATTTTGTGTGGATTGTATTATATCAACACATTGATCAAGGTTTGGGCATGTGTCATTTCTTAATCCATAGGCCTCTGTCCTAAAGGCGTGTCCCTGCATATCCTTCTGATATGCCTCCTCATTCCTCAAAGGAGACAGCAGCATGGAGCTGCAGATGATGGTCCTAGACTGTGTCCATATTTTTTCCAGGCTTTTGAAACCCCTTTTCAACCTCCATCTACCCTAGAGCATAAGCCAAAATCTGGCCCTTCATATTTAGTAAGCACAGAAGTTTTTGTGACTCCTCTAGTCACTGTTATAATAAAGGCCTGCTTTCAGCTTTTCACTTAAATCACAAGCAAAACAAGTATTGTATTTACATACCACACTCCCCCTTTCCTAAAAAATTAGCCCTCCAAAATTCAGCTTTGCAAAATGCGGTTCAGTTTTTGCGCATACACAAACACTGTACTGATATGTACTGATATCAGGAGCAATTAACACATCTGGTAATGTAGTTTCCATGCAAATTGTTTACTATAGAGCCATATATATACTGTAGAGCCATTAATAGCTATATATATACATATGTTTATATAGCGTTCCAGGGTCTTAATTGTTCTAAAAGGTAAAATATTTCATTATACTTCACACCCTCCACACGTGTCTTGTAAACAGCCTAAATTTGAGTTTTAAATACATCAAAATAGAGAATAAGTTTATAACCCCCCCATTTTTTTTTTAGATGACAACTTTTGGAGCATTCCTTCATAAAGGTTCTTTCTGTAGGAATTACTTCAATTTGCTGGACTTGCTGGTTGTGGGTGTTTCTCTGGTATCATTTGGGATTCAGTAAGTATTACTATCAAGTGTAGGTGGTTTCATTCTTGCTTTGGGGTTTTAGACTGAAATCAGGACTTTGTAAGAAATTCAAAAGTCAAGGTCCTTCAAAAGGAATTAGAATTTGCATTTGAATTAATCGCAAGGGCTTTTGTAGCACTACAGATAGAACAGCAGTCCTTACTGTTACTGTGAGCTGTTGTTGAAAGTACAATTTAGGACTATAACTGGTGGTGAAGAGATTGTTTTTATCCTTTTTGGGCAGACAGAGCAAAGCTGTCCAAAAATAACCTTTAGCTGACAACTGCTTCATTGGGGGGGGGCAGTTCTACTGCAGCTCAAATCACCATTTAAAACTTCCCTTTGACTTGGAAAGAAGCAAGGCCAGGGC